AGACCCGAACGTTGCCCACTGTGTCCACGCCCGAATCCGCGGTCGCGGAGATGAAGCTGGCAATCGCTGCATTGGGTGAGGATCCGCCCCGTTACGAGTCCGGCATCATCCGGGTCGAGGTAATGAGAAATGCATGAAGTCTATAGGTTCGAGTAGTTGGAATGAAAAATGCATTTATGAGTTCTCGTAGGACGCACTCACCTGTTTTGGGCCTGGTTTGCTTTTGCATGCAGTTAACTTTTTGGTGTTAGCTAAAAATAACTAGTTACGGAGTTCGATACCAGCTTGATAAGGGTTCGTATCTAAAACCAACTCCTCAAAATAAGTCAGATTTGATCCTGATCTAGTTCTGGGGTTGGGGTTTTTTTTTTGCTGTGTGTGTTGTGTGTTGGGGGGGGGGGGGGGGGGAGGGCGTGAGCCTAGGTATGTATTTGGATAAAATTAGGCTGATATTTGCCCAATTTTTCTAAGGGGAAATTCTTAGGCTCCGTTTGGCAAGGGGTTAAGAGAAGGGTTTAACCCCTTTTTAACCATTAACAAACCTTTTACATGGTTTAAAGTTAGTTTAACCACTCAGTTAAGAGGGGTTAATAAGTCTGCCTAGGGTGAAGAGTTAAAGAGTTACTCCCTCTAAAAATAAGAAATGAAAAATTAAAAAAGAATATAATTTAGAGTATTTATGGCAATTAACCTCCTTAACTCTTCTTTGTTTCACAAACAAAAAAAACTTAACCCTTCGTCTTGACTGTCAAGTTAAAATGGAATAAAATTATTTTTACCCTCTCATAAAGGGTTAACTAAGTTAATCATTCCTCTTAACGAGTTAATTAAGTTAGTACTTCCCCTTAACTCTTCCCCCCTATCCCCTTTGCCAAACGGCACCTAATGGTTTTGTTTTGGATCACATCTCTCTTGGACCAAAACAAATCTAGTTTAGTCTAAAACAAGAGCTTTGCTACAGGGACCCAAAATATGAGACCAATAAAAGGGACAAGTGAGGTGTCCCCCTCCTATTGGATAATGAGTTGGCCATCATTAATGATAGCCAACTCATTATCTAATAGGAGGGAGACACCTCACTTGTCCCCCTATTGGTCCCATATTTTGGGTCCTTAAAGAATTTTTCCTAAAACAAAGCTAGGATCAGTCCTGACCCAATTTCAAGGTGGCGAAGGCACCTAGAATCAAAAGCTAAGCTTGCTCAAGTAAACGAGCAGGCTTTTGAGTATTGTTATGCTCAGTTTATGTTCACACTCAAACTCAGATTCATTATGGATTGTAACAAACATTCTTTGGTTAGGAGTCATGAGCTCAGCGAGGTAAGATTGAGCTTTGAGCTGACCTAAAACTCAGTTGTCTAAGTCAAACTTTGATCTAAGGACCTAAGTCTTGAATTTGTTTAGTCTGAGGTTCTAATCAGAACATAATATATTTCAGTTAGATCACTCATCCATTAGAATTTAGTTATGAAATAAGTATAATAGTTCAGAATACAAAAGATTATTCCAATTTTACTTTGAGCAGTTATAAACAGTTATCGAGGTTAGCTTCGAAAATCCTTTAATTGAAGTCCATATTTGTTGATTCAATCAAACGTAATTCAGGTTCCAGTACGACAGAGAGCTGATGCCATAGACTGGCTTCAAGCTCAGGAAAATCTACCTCTCTGTTATTTCTCTGGAAGAGATCAGAAAATGAATCTCAACGGGTTAGCAGGCAACGGGAGTTTCAGTTACAGCACGAAGGATCATAAGCTGATCAGTGTCGCCGGTGTGGGCTCCGCTGTGTTCTTCCAGAGATTTGATCAGTTTGCGCTACAAGATTGGAGGTGCATTAAAAGGTAGTTTAAAAAATAAAATAAAGTTGAGAGTTCTTCTGCATTGTCATCTTTCATTTCTCTTTATGATTCATGAAACTAGAGCTCAGTTTACTAAGTCTATGGTTTTATAGTATCTTTTAAAAAATTTATGATGCCTAATAGTTGCCGATATTGAATTTCTTATTGTTTTGCAACTAACACAAGCTAGAACAGCTGTGGGATAGTTGTTATTGTTCACTACATCTAGCAATTACGTTTAGTTATCTTCAAAACCAGAAAGTGTACTATTGTATCTGCTTATACTCAAAACAACTTTTCAAATCTTGGTTTTGGTTGTGTTGTTAATTCGTCATATTTGGTATCAACTTTTAGAGTTTTGAATTAGTCATCTATGAATGAAACACATTTATCGCAGATTTCCAGTTACTCAAAAAAAAAAAAAGGTCCAACTTTCCTTTTATTTGTTTCATTTTTATTTTCTTTCCAGTATAATCATATCAAATCAACTTCTACTACTTCAAACCTCTTATACATATGGCTTAAAAATTGACACAGTATGTGTCATGTAACTGATACACATCAGTATCAGTCAATACTCCAAACCTTGCTTAAAAAGAGCATGCTTGTTATCTTTACATTCTACAATTGTTCTTGCATAGAATCCTGACACCGTTTTAGGCGGAACTTCTCGCAGGTCGGGCAGACCTGAAGATTTTGTTGACTAAAAAAATCCTGCATAGAATGCTGACTCCACTTTCTTTTCCTTTTGTTCATGAAGATTTCTCTCTAAAGGTAGCCCTCTAATTCGTGCCTATGGAGGCATCCGTTTCGATGCAAAGACAGATGTTTCTTCTGAATGGAAGGATTTTGGTTCCTTTTACTTTCTCATTCCTCAGGTACACCATTTCTTTTCCTAGAGCACTTTATTGATCGCTGTTGCTTCTATTCATCGAAACTTATGTGACGTTCTTTTAGAGATTTAATGACAGGTAGAGTTTGATGAGCTTGAAGATAGCTCCATGCTTGCTACCACTATTGCTTGGGATGACAACCTTCACTGGTCATGGCAAAATGCAATGGATGGTCTTCGAGCTAGAGTTCATCAGGTTTACACGTGATAAAATTGTTTTCTCATGAAAAATTCTCTAGTTTCGTCAGTAATCAACACAGTGATTATGAATATCAATTATTATTCCTTTAATGCAGATATCTCCATATGTTAATAAGTTAAGGAAGTCGGTCCAAAAAACAGCCATCGTTAGTTGCAGTCATGTCCCTACCAAAATAACTTGGGATGTTACTGTTAGTAAAGCATTAGAGATGATAAACAGAAGAAACTCAGATCTGAAAAAGGTACGTATTTGTTTATCACGTTCTACTTTATACCTTGATTGAATTTTCTGATCTATCTGTACTCGTCTTTTTCAAATTAATATTTTCAAACCAGGATTTATGTTTGTCATAATATCAAAAGCTTAATTTCTGTTATATTTTGGTTCATTGAGTTCTTATCCAGGTTGTATTGGCAAGATGTAGTAATATTGCTACGGATACAAACATGGATCCAATATCAATGTTAGCTTGTTTGCAGGTTGGCTTTCTCCTTTTTTTGCTGCATTTATTTTGTTAAACGATTTTATACTGGATCATAATAATTTATTATATTATTTTGAACAGATGGAAGGTCAAAATTCCTATCAGTTCTATATTCAGCCACCAGATTCTCCGGCGTTCATTGGGAACACTGTATGTATGTTTTAGATGTCATACATTTGTTTTTCAAAAAACGGTAAAATATCCTAAAATGTAGTAAATGGTGCTGCATGGCTCTATCAATAAAAAAATGTTACTACCCAAGTATTCTAATTGACTTTAATTTCAAAGTTGCCATCTTTGATTTCTACACTTAATCCCATGCTGTGCAATTTATATATACCAAATTTTTTTATTACATTCTAGTTTTCCTATGAAATTAATTAACATCACAGTGTAATTTACGGAATGACCTTAAACCTGTACAATTGGGAGGCATCATTATTTTCAAGAGAGAGTTTCATCATATAGATAACTTGTAGTAAGAGCCAGTAGAGACTAAGTTCTAGATATAAGCTTTATCTTAAACAAATATTCTTAATAGCCCGAGCAACTATTTCATCGGAAGTTCCTCAATGTATCAAGTGAAGCTGTGGCTGGAACCCGTGCCAGAGGTCTAACCAAGATTGAAGATCTTCAGATTGAACATGATTTACTTTCCAGGTTTTCTTCTTTCTTTAATATTTAAGATAACTAAATAATATACAATAGGTTTAGTGTTTTGCCACATAAATTTCTTTTCTTTGTTTCCCCTTATGATGTAATGCTGGAGCCTGAGCACACACTGGTTTAATTTTTTCTGTCACAGCCCAAAGGAAGATGCCGAATTTACCATTGTACGAGAGAGCATTAGAAGAAAGATGAAGGCAAGTTCAAGGACTGTTAAATTTTAATCAACATTGATGCGCAGACTTTCACTCTTATTGACGGCAAATCTTCTAGTCTTTTTATTTATTTATTACTATTACTTTGATAGTTATTGTTTTTCAATTGAATATTATCTTTGTGCAGACTATTTGCAGTGGTGTAGTTGTGGAGCCAAGCAAAGCAATCAGGAAGCTTCCTAGGGTTCAACACCTTTCTGCACAATTATCAGGAAAATTAAGGAGCGAAGATCATGAGGTAATTCTAATATGTGAAATAGTAGAAAGTTGGATTGCAATAAATTTAGACTACTTAGTGTCGTGTAGTTATATTTCTAGTTTGCTCTTCATGATGTTTACAGAATTGGTGTACGATCTCTATTAAAATTTTAGGACTAATATTTATTTCAAGATATAAATTAGATAGAAATTTAGTTGAGATTTATGGGACTGTGATCGAGTTATTACTGCTGAAGTTAATATTCTCATTGATGAACACGAATAATAAAACCATCTCATTATTTAGTTACTTAAACTTTCCGAAATGAACGCTGTAAATCATTGGTCCATACCAATATTGGTACTGAGATTTCCAGACCCTGTTTTCTATACATCAATTTGATTTTTTTTCTTTGTAGAACCTTATATTTCCCTATTGTAAAATCTATAATATGAGATAACTTTTTCTTGCAGTTTGACATTTTAGCATCCCTTCACCCAACTCCTGCAGTATGTGGATTGCCAAGAGAAGAGGCGCGCCAATTTATAATAGAAAATGGTATCTCGTTAGCATTATGCAGAAATTTCCTGTCTTATAATTATGGATGTTTACACTGGTCATTACTTTCAACTTGTTACTTCAAATCTGATAAAAGAAGGAATTTGTCTATGCATTCTAATATGAGCAATGAATCCATGTTGCAGAAAAGTTTGATCGAGGAATGTATGCTGGGCCTGTTGGCTGGTTCGGAGGAAATGAAAGCGAGTTTGCTGTTGGTATAAGATCAGCTTTAGTGGGAAAGGTAAAACAAGCATGCTTCTTTACTTGCTAAAAGCAGATGTATCTAGTTTTGCTTTCACTATAATCTCATTTTTCAGATATATTTGTTTATTACATGATGCATAGCTGATGTTTAACAATTTCCATTTTGTTAGATTTCATATAATGACCTTTACTTACAGTAACAGATGGTGCTTGATAGTTGAGAAAATTATATCCGAATGCTAAAATCACTGAATATAAGTTTCATTAATGATATTGTTAGTATTTTTGATTCCTGCGTTTAATACACTGAGTAAGCAGTTGCTATGCATATTCCTCTGTCTTAGCTGATTTATTTGTTTTGTTCTTCCTTTCTATAACTCCTTCACATAACCTTCAGTATTCTAGACCTGTTATGCATAAAAAATTAGATTCAATTTAACTGATGATTTTTCTTTAACTGAGTTTTAGGGATTTAGCACAATAGTTTATGCTGGGGTCGGGATTGTTAACGGATCTAATGCATGCTCAGAGTGGGAAGAACTAGATTTGAAGGCATCCCAGGTCTCCTTCTATCCTCTATATTCTCTGTGTGCATGCCCGTGTTCTCTATCCCTCTTTAATCTTAAGGTTTTTGTTTTTGTTTTGCATGTAGTTCACAAAATTGTTGCAAAGTCAGGAAGCTTGGCACTCGCTATAGAAGCTTAAAGAATCGGACAAAGCCAATGAATAACTCAAGTAATATGATGAATAATTCATGCTTATGTGGTGAGCTTGTGGATTGAAAGTTTGGTTTAAGTTGATGATGCCCAATATTTGTGTTGAAGATCACTGGAGAAATTGCAACTTTCTGATGCTGCCATCTGAACTGATAGTGTACATCATTAGCATCAGGATAGCATCAAGATGTTCTATGTTCCTTTTGCCTACATATTCCTTGATTTCTTGTATATTTACACGCGGGAACTAGGGACTGTAACATCTTGTTCCTTAATGACAGTGTTCTTCTAAATAAAATTTAAATAATTTCTGTGTGTCGATTTCTCTCCTTTTTCTATTTCTTTTTCCCCCCATTGTGCAAACATGGGTATATTACAATGAGGAAGTCACTCATGTACTGGTTATTTATATTACTAAAGAGTTTTGCAAATTATTCTTTGCTTGTGGATTATGATAGAGAGGTTCCTTTATGGTGTCGTGACCTTGCGTAGTTGTGTGATGTTGGCTACAATTTGAGAGGTAATTATGAATGCACACTGACACACTGACACGTGCGCGCGCACAATTGATTTTGGAATAAATCTCATTTTACATGTAATAATCATCCTACAACAAGTCAGACCTTACCCTTGCACAAAGTAACAGAGAAGCTAAGGAATCAAATAACCAAAGAGGCAACCTTTTGAGCTTAGGAAAAGAAAAGAATTCTACTTTCCTCTTACTATATTTTTTTTTTATAAAAAAAAGGCAGCCTTGGTATGAGCCAAGCATTTCCCACCAAATACAAATACAAAGCATAAATCCATAACCTTTTAGATTACTTGGAAGAACAACATACGATGGATGAAGATTTCGCGCCATTGGTCGAATGGACTCAGGACCTCTCCAATCATGTTCTCCTCATTCATTTGCCAGGTATTACCATCATGCGTATGAAACCCAAATTCACTGAAAAAAATAAGAATAATTAAGTATCCACCCAAATTCACTGAAAAAAATAAGAATAATTAAGTATCCACTAATACATTATGAGAAACAATTTGAAGGTTTCAAGAAAGAAGATATCAGGGTGCACGTTGAGAACTACGGGAGGATACAAGTCAAGGGCAAAAAACATGTAATTGTAAGCAAGTACGTCAACTTGGATCAATCTTTCATTGTGCCTCAAGATGTCGTCCATGAAAAGATTTTTACGAGACTCGAGGATGGGATTCTCTTCTTGATCATGCCGAAGGAGGTGAAAGAATCAGAAGTAACTCGAAAGGCTGTCTTCAAAAGTGAATGGCTCGATTATGTGCCTACCGATCGTATGTTGGAGAAAGTTAACAGAAACAGAAAGGTTATTTCTGTGGCTGTTGTGGCATTCTCTGTTGGGCTCTATGTTTCTCATAAGCTGAGAGCAAGTGGAAGATGAATATCTCTATGTAAACATAATCTTGTGATTTTAGATTGTCAACTGTTAAAAACTTGTGCCTTAAGATGAATGCAGTGTCCTCTGTCAAATCTGTCAATTTTGCCTGATTTTGTAGAATTCCTTTGTCTTGAACTTATTTGCAGTCAATCGTCAATAAAAAGTTAATTCTAGATGACCAGAGTGTTGATAATAATGTTAGTAGTGGGTTTTTAGTCCCATTTTGGTTGTCAGAACACACATCACCGCCTTCTACTTGTATAAATAAATGTGCACACTCAATATTCAACTCTAGGGAAATTTACCCAAGACTCCCTCTCTCTTACTTTAACATGGTATCAGAGCTAGGGTAATTATTTTCCTTCCAATAATTTTTTTAACGCTTCTGCGTTCTTTTGCCAAATCTTGGCCTTGCTGAAAGCAGCCGTTTAACGCCTTTTTTTTGCGTTCCTATGCCAGATTTTTGGCATTGTCGCTTTGCGGCCTCTTAACGCGTTTCGCGTTCTTGTATTCAAGATCGATTCTCGATCTCAAATTTACGGCATCTCCGTTTCAAGACTGTCTCTCGGTCTCAAAGTAACTGCATCGCCGTTTCAAGCTGTCTCTCGGTCTCAAACAAACGGCCTTGTCGTTTCATAATCAGTAACGACATCGTCGTTTCAATCCATCTCAGCGTCTCAACATCGACATTAATCTGTTGTAGGTCTCCGGCGTGAGCATCAGATCCGGCCGATCTTCGGGCCACCTTGGTCGCCGGTTGCTTCTTTTTTCTCAGATTTGACAGTCATGTATAACTTTCGGGTTCAAATTTAACCTTCAATTCTTACATTTTAACCTTCGGGTTTCTACGTTAACCTTCGGGTTCTCCTTTAAACATTCGGGTTTCGTTCAAGGATTATTATCTTGAACTTTAACTTGCTGCTATTATGGCCTCTTCACTGGCACTTGCTTCTCATGCTCAGTCTAAGCTCTTTTGCACCTATTGCAAGAAGGAGGGACACCGTTTTGAGACATGTTTCCAGCTTCATCCTGAGCTACATTCCTCAGGAACTAGTCGTAATCAGCGATCCCCTAAGTCCTGATCCTCTAGTGCATCAGGATTACCGATCAATATTATGTCATCTACCACTTCAGACCCTACCATTCAAGCTATTGCAGATACTAGCCGTCAAATTACGGCTCTTCCGCATATCACCTCTCCATCTGCTGCAAAACTCTCTGATATTCGCCGTCAAATTGAGGCTCTTCAAGCTATTGCAAATATTAGCCGTCAAATTGCGGCTCTTCAGCATACCACCTCTCCATCTGCTACACAACTCTCTGATATTCGCTATCAAATTAATGCTCTTCAGCATAGAGCATTTACATCTACTGCACAACTCTCTGGTATGCGTCTTGCTGGTTCTTCATCCAACCCTTCGGTCTCTAGTATGAATGATCTATGGATTTTTTATTTTGGTCGTTCCTTTCATATGACTCGTAATGCCTACCTCTTATCTTTTATCTTTACTTTTTCTTCTCTTCCCCCTATCTACACGGTTGCTGGACAACCTTTGTCTATCACTCAGTATGGCTCTATCACCCTACAAAATGACCAATTTGGTCATCTAACTCTTGGTCACATCTATGTGACTCCTCAGTTGTGTTTGAATTTAATTTCTGTTAGCTCCTTAAGTATGGATGGCCTACTAGTCTCATTTTCTTCTGATACTTGTATTGTGCAGGATCCACAGACAAGCAAGACTGTTGGGGCCGGTCGAAGGAGACACAAATTGTATTTTCTGAAATATCATCACCTTCCAGAGTCCATGCGTCCACGTTCTCTTGTTGCTTCTATAAGTCCAAAATGCTCTACCTTGCTATAGGCTGTCTAAAAATTACTGCAAATAGCTGATCTCCATCAAACACCGATAATGACAAGAGATAGAGGGAGATGAGTTGAATGCCCAAACACCAAAGGTTATCTCCTCAAACCCTTGTGAAAATTTCTTCACAAACTAAACTCTTAAACACACTTTAAAAACAAACTAAACTTTTGTAAACTTGTTTTTAAAGCTTCTTGATTGTCTTCTAAGTGTTGGGGATAGATGGGTATATATAGGCACTCAATATAACACCCCAAGGCCCAAAAAACGAGGCAAAACACCCCAAAAACAAAACCAGGAAAAAACTAGCCGTTAGGCTGAAAAACATGTCATCAGTCGATTGATGATGTCATCAGTCGACTGATAAAGTCGACCGTTGAATAGTTTTGACAGATTTTAAATTTTTTGCATATCTGTCTTTCTAAAATCAATTAAAAATGGTAAATCAACTCCAAACATTATGAAAGTTTGAGAGAAGTTTCTAGACATGTATATGAACATGTTAGAGAAAGAATTTATGAAATATCTCTTCCCATTTGGGAGAAATAAATATTTAAAAACAGATATTACAGATTCTAAAAACTGCTTAAACATTTGATTTTGTAAAATCAATTCAGTATAGTAAATCATCTCTAAAAATGATAAACTTTTGGGAAATGGTTATAAACATGTAATAGAACATGTTAGAAAAAGAAGTTTTTAAATTTTATTTTTCATTTATGAAAACTCATCTGTTTTACAAAAACATGCACGAACATGAACTTATAAAAACTTGATTTTGTAAATTCAATTAAACATAACAAATTAACTCCAAAATTAATAAAACTTTGGGAAACATTTATAAACATGAAAACAAACATGTTAAAGAAAAACTTTTTGAAATATCACTTCGTAGTTACAAAAACTTACTATTTTACAAAACTTATAAATACATGTGTACATAAACTTCTTGATTTTTGACTATTGAGTTAAACAATGTTTTGAAACCTTATAAAATAATTTTATAGACTTAATAAAAGATGTATATAATGATTGTTAAATCCAAAAACCAATAACTCAATATTTTGTTAAAATTACTCAAAATCAAGAATTGTGTGTATGTGTGATATTGAGCTCAACATATTCAACACACAAGTATAAACACCTAAACTAAAATATACCCAAGATGATAAATATTTAATATAGCCCAACTTGGTTACAGATGAAGCTTGATCTTGAATTTTATTTGAATTGCAAATGGCTTCATATCGATATTCTACCAACCTCCATTTGATATAATCGTTATTGTAACGCCCCACCCCGGAATCCTGGAGTCGGTACGCTACTAGATCTGATGGACTGGCCTCACAAACCATCACATGTCTTTTCAGCACGTTTTGTCCTCACTCACGCGCTCCCTGGAAAACTTCCCAGGGGGTTACCCATCCTAGAATTTCTTCAGGCCAAACACGCTTAACTTTGGAGTTTCTAAGAGTTAGGTTCCCGAAAAAAAGATGCATCTTGGTGGTATGAGTATTCCAATCAAATCTATCAACACTAATCACATCACCCTCTCAAGGGTTGGGGCATTACAAACTCCCCTACTTAAACTCGCAACATCCTTGTTGCGCCAAATCAAATCATTCAAGACCGTACCATTCGTATGAGATTCTAGAGGTGGCTCCTACGGCCTCAAGAGGTGGCTCCCACCCTTTTGACGTAGCACTTTGCGCCACATAGCACTTAGCTCTCACAATTCCGGTTGGCTTTGCTCTGATACCATTTGTAACGCCTCGCCCCGGAATCCCAGAGCCGGTACGCTACTAGATCTGATGGACTGGCCTCACAAACCACCACATGTTTTTTCAACACGTTTTGTCCCCACTCACGTGCTCCCTGAAAAACTTCCCAGTGGGTCACCCATCCTAGAATTTCTCCAGGCCAAGCACGCTTAACTTTGGAGTTTCTAAGAGTTGGGTTCCCAAAAAAAAGATGCATCTTAGTGGTATGAGTATTCCAATCAAATCTATCAACACTAATCACATCACCCTCTCAAGGGTTGGGGTATTACAGTTATGGCGCAATTCCATCCAACCTCCAGCGTATTAATTGTCTAGAATAAATACAAAATACAAACACTAGACAAACAACATTAGAAGTAAATTATTTATAAATCAACATCAAAACAAAAGGACCCAACACAAACTCCTATCACATTAATATTACATCTCTGACAATCCACTTATCAATCATTTTCAATAGGATGATAAGTCCTCAAAGTTGTTACAATCGTAACAAAATTCTGTCATGTTAATATTACACTTCTGACAATCCACTTATCAATCCTCTCAATAGGATGATAAGTCCTCAAAGTTGCTCTAATCGCAACAAAATTCTATCAAGTTAACATCACACCTCTGACGACCAAATCAACTTATCGATTCTCTTCAATAGAGCGATAGGTCCACAAACCTGTCAAGTTAACATCACACCTCTGACGATCAAATCAACTTATCGACTCTCTTCAATAGAGCGATAGGTCCAGTTAACATCACACCTCTGACGATCAAATCAACTTATCGACTCTCTTCAATAGAGCGATAGGTCCATAAACCTGTCAAGTTAACATCACACCTCACTTATCGACTCTCTTCAATAGAGCGATAGGTCCATAAACCTGTCAAGTTAACATCACACCTCTGACGACCAAATCAACTTATCGACTCTCTTTAATAGAGCGATAAGCCCATTAAATACTGTTAGGTTAACATCACACCTCTAACAGTCAAACCCCCCAATGAACTTGTTAAATCCTTTTTCAACAAGAATAGAAAGTTTTCATTATAAAATCCCCAGCGGATTAAAGATTTTCTAGAATTATTCTAGTGATAATGAAAAAAATTTCTAAATTTTACTCTAAGTGAAAATTCATGCCAAGTTAATACTACACCTCTGGCACTTCCAACTTTCTTTCAGTATTTCAAGTGAAAACATAACACAGGAAGAAACAGCAATAAAGTCTACGCCTAACACGCATTGTCGGTTAGTCTTTTGCCACAAAAAAGACACCAGAATCCACGTCTGGGGGACTTTATCTCGATCCCTAATTAGAGATAAGTTTACGCCTAACACGTGTTGTCGGTTAGTCTTTTACCGTGAAAAAGACACTAGAATCCACGTCTGGGGGACTTTATCTCGATCCCTAAATAGAGATAAGTATGCATCTAA